GGCTGCGAGGGACGGCTACAAGAGTTGTTGGGGAAGGCAGAAGGCACATAAAGTCATTCGTCACTGACTATTGTTTTGATTTACTTAGGAAAGGTGCTTTCCTAGGATAGAGGTACCGTCATGTAGCGGCCGTAAAATTACGGACGCAAAAAGACCTAAAGAAGAATTTACCGCTCACTAGGAAAAAGCGCTTTATAGTTGTTTACATAGAAAACATTCTAATGGCGTCATACACCGCTGTATTACAGCCGCTATATTACTGCACCGCCGTCCTAGGAAATTAGAGCTTATGCGATTATTATAAAAGCGATAAAATGTTGTCTTTTTAGTTAACATTTAACAAGAGACCGCTTTGTGTATATAGTTTTTGTACTCGAGCATATATGAACATCGTTCTTATTCGTTTTCAGATCATCGCATACTGACAACTCGCAGCGGGACTCTGCTTTATAGTATGTATTATGAAGCTCGATGTTTAGACATCACATCACGTATGGTGACACTACGTAAGGAGCTAAGCAAAGAATTTATTAGCCACCTTATAAGGAATTCACTCTTCCATTACGTACCACAAAGTATGTACAATTACCAACACATAAAGTTACTATAAAATGACAAATTGTCTCAATCGAATATGAATCATAAAGCAAATAAGATAAGGTTTAAAATCGGTTGGAGGAAATTGACTTGATTGGTTTGGGTATCTGGTCTTGTGGTTGTCTGTACATCGGCGCGCGTATCCTTTCACCTAAATAAGTTATTGGCTGATGCAATAACTAGTTTTCTTTGTGTGATTTAACAATCGCTTAAACATTATTATAATAAATTCTGTTTCATAAAAAGTATAGCATAATCTTTAACTTTTAGTAGGTACCTAGTTGATAATAAGTTTTAATTCCTTTTCTAAGTTGCAGCTGGTTAACAACCAGCCCGCCATCATTTAAAACGTGAAATGAATCACCCACAAACATGACCTAACTAGAGAGACAATCAAACAATGTAAACACCAGATAAACGTTTTCCCCACAAATATTTGTTTATAGAACTGTAATCCTTCTTGCTAACGTTTTAGAAACGATAATTGCTCGAGGCAGTACCTTTATCAGTTGCAATAGCAATCTAACAGGTAGATAGGTACGGATAGATTTGTGTCAAAGGCGTTTATTTAGTCACGCTAGCGTGACTCAAACGGAACGTTTTTTCTTTATTACTCATATAAATAATTTCTTGTTAAGAACAGGTGTGAAAAGAGTTTGTGGGAGTAATTTTTTGTGAAGATGTGTTGCCAGTGTGATTGCGGAGCCTGTGGCCCGATAATAAGGTGCCTTTGCTGTGTAACACTTTTCGTATTCCTGCTGAGAATGTGCGGAGTCGATGTTGGCGACCAGTGCTGCTGCGGTGGCGATGAAGAAACTGGATGAAGATAATATTACTGTTTTCGATTTTAATGGACTGTTGATTTAAGTACTTACCTACGTTTTAAGTAAATTATTTTGAAGCGTCGCATTACTTTTGTTTTATTTTTAATTATTTATAATGCTATTTCTGGTCTTGCAAAATCGCGTACCGACAGTTTGCCTGTGACACACATCATCAGCCTATTGATGTCCCCACTTTTGGGGGACAGGCCTTCCCTATGAATGGAATAGGGAGATTGGGCCATGACCAACCACGCGGGCCCAGTGTGGATTGGTGGGTGACACACATATATGGTAAAAATTAATTGATGTCTCTAATGCTTTATAATATAAGAAAAAGCAGTGGCGAAGTGTGTTTTTTGTGACATGAACAGCAAATAGATACCTACTTATTTCGGTATTATTGACTACACAACTACTACCAGCTAAGCGTATTTGTTATCTTTCATATAAAAGTGTTATCGAATAAATTTATCTAATATCATCAAAGCATGGTTGTAGTACAAAATGACTCATTTTAAATAAGATACATTTAACAGATTAATCAAGCTTAAGCTACTTACCTTCTCATGTCTCAACATGGGATTAAGCATTAAATCATACTTTATGTCATACTAAAACCCCTTTTTAATAAAAAAGGGAGCCAAGAAATCATAATTATCTTAATGACCTCGTGATTAGAAACAAGAGTTTATAAAAGAGCTCATACTCCACTCTTTCTTTGAGTCGGTAGTCATTTGGGAGCGGGACCACTGGTCCTGATGTGGACATGGAGTCAATAAATTATTTTGAGGCGGTATTCGGGACCGAAGCTTGTGGTCCCGAATGACACCATGTTTAATAAAAAAAAATGAAATAATGAAAAATATTTATTCTGTAACCAAATTAAATTAACATAAAAGTTATTGAAGCACTCTTTTAGGTAAACATATTCCTGTATTAGAATGCCTCGCTCTCTCGTACATCACAACTTGTTTACAAACAATATACATACATATCTCAAACTAATTAATAAAAGAAAACTAAATAATAAATAACAAAAATCATGCAAAAACGCACTATTAAGCCTAATCTCATACGTCAACTTGCATAAGTTTTTCCACTCGTCATAATTAATAATTATTTTGAGTGCTAAGTTGGGACGATAAATAAAGAATGAAGTGTTTGATTAAAAGTACAGATAAGGACAAAAGCTCGTTAATGTATAAGTATTCGGGGTGGAGTCCAGTTATGGCGTTAACAAGACGATTTTTACCCGAGTCTAAGCACGATTTAAGACAGTGTTTACGTCCGGTTGCCAGTTAAGAATGGGCCTCAATGGAGGTTTGTTGAGGGCAACGCTTTAGGGTCGGTACAAACATACAAAGCGTGCTCGTGAACATAAAAGTGAAGTGAAGAAACCGGGTAGCTGATGAGTACAATCTATGTCGTTAGAGTTTAACTCACCCGGTAGGATTTTGGCGAATGTATGCACTTCAGGGACACAAGAAAACCCCACAGAATAATTATATCTAGAGACATGTAGATTCGATTCGAAGTTGAACACAAGCATCTGTAACCCAAGCACGAACCAATATCGAATTCGAATAGTTTGCGAGTGCGATATGTCATTGTCAAAATGTATACTAATTTTTAGTTCTTGTTACGTACGTTGTGGCACTGCTTTTCAAGTTTCCATACAAAAATTGACAATGACATTTCGGACTCGCAAACTATTCGAATTCGATATTGGTTTGTGCTAGAGATACTATAATCGAATCAGTACCCAAAGCACGAATTTAGACAGATCCGACACCATACTATCGCCATCGTCAAAGTTTCTATGGTAACTAAGCAGCGCCACTATTAGACGCAAGAACAAACTGGCTCCTTCCATAGAAAATTTGCCGACAGCGCTACTAAAGTTCGTGCTTGGGGTACATGGCTATTTATATATTTAGCCCAATAATATTGTAATTTACTAAATACTAGCAGACCCTACAGTTCAGACGTCGTGTTGCCGATAAAAATATTGAAAAAATTCTAAAACCCAGCTACACCCGCAAAAATCGAAAATCTCGTCAATGAAATGACGTATTCAAATAAATTATATGCCAAAATAACAATATTTTCACTAAAATTTGGCACAAACAAAATTTCAAAGTATTTTCTGTATACTTTATACCAATAGGTAGTTATCTACATGCGTTTATAAGGATCACTCAGTTCAGCAAATTAAAAAAGGTTTGATTGGTCATAACTTTTTAACTATAAGCATTTGTGATCATGTTATTAATTTGTACAGATATTTCCAATAGTTACCTTCAAGGTGACAAAAAAATATTATCCATTTCAAAACCATAACGCCGTATTTCTAGGATTACTCAATCTAAATGCGTCAGGATTGAGTGATCCAATAAAACTATCATAGATTCCTGGATTGAAGTAACTTGATTTTTTGTAAAATAATGTGACAAATTCTGTACAATTTTTTAATATCAAAATTTCGTTCACAGCGTTAGTTTTCTGAGATTCAGCGTATACTATTTTTCCCAATGACTGAATTGAGTGATCCATATTTTGGGAATATCTTCGATCGCCTGAGAGTGACGCGTGACCAAGAAAAATAGAGATTCATTTATTTCATACATGTTACGCTCAAGGACCGAAAATGCTGATTGAGCGAACAAATAGCTCGCAATGCATTGTGGTCAGAGTAAAACATCCACATATCGATATTTGATGTCTTGGCTGTAATGCTAAGTATTATTAACGTTCATGATATGGTTAAACCAATTAATACTCAGCACGCGTCATGGCTGTTCTTCATTGCCACGACGACCACGACAGGAATTTTCGTAGAAAAGTCTTTCTGTGATTGGCAATCACAGAAGGATACTTAAAATGCGTTGTGAGCGTTTTCCTGACAGGCATATGAAGTCGTTTTACTGTGACCCCAACGCGCTGTGAGCTATTTTTTCGCTCAATGAGTGTTTTCGGTTTTTGAGCGTAACATAATATATGAAATAAATGAATCTTTTTTTTCTTCGTCACGCAATAACATGAGAACGACTTTACCGATTTAATCATTTTTTTTAATTTGCTATCGGATGTAAAATTATGAATTTCACGCAGAAAATTAGTTAGCAGAAAGTAAGTAAATCTTGTATACCATCTAGTATAACATAAGTTTAAAATGCTTACTTTGGTGCTCCGCTAATTTGGTCTGGGTGTAAGAAATACTTGTTTTATACATTTATCAACTCGTATTTGCATTTGACTAGAGGGTCTTAATTAGCGATATTTTGATGAAATATCTCTGTTGTACATATTCCATATCCTACTGGCAAACAGGTTGATTCAGGAAATTCATATTTTGTCCATTTAAAGTTTCTTAATAATATTTTTTCAATGTCTAGGTTCTAATAAGGTTTTCTACTATAAAAATATATATGAATCGTAAAATCTCGCTAATTTAGACCCCCAGTTTTTTCCATTATACCTATTTATAGAGTCAAGGACAATGTAACAATAATAAAATACACTATGAAATAAAAAATAAATAATTTAATATTTATTCTTAGACATTACTTTCAGACATTTCTCTCGGTGTCATTATACTCAATTTTCAAGTTTGTGTGGCACAGGGAGAGGTTTAGATAATTAAGAGAAGCTTCCATTTGGTAATAACCTGTTGAGTGCAGGAATCTTCTTCAGTTCTTCCATTTGATAGACTGTAAACGAAAACATTTTGTGGGTTAATTTGTGCTATTTGCTAATCATAATTATAACGGTAGAACCAATTAATATAAAAAAAAATAACAGACTTCAAATCGAAAATGGAACTAAATAGTAAAAAATAATATCTGCTTCATGATTTGGAAGTCGGGCGGGTCAAGATTGAAAGACGTATTATTACCGATCAGAAACGAAAATCTATTTAATGTTTCTATCTTGACCCGCCCGACTTCCAAATCATGAACCAGATATTATTTTTTACTTTTTAGTTCCATTTTCGATATTGAAGTCGGTTTTTTATTTTGTTTTTTTTTTATATCATCCATATTAGTGAAAATTACATCGTCCAAGTAAACAATAACACAATAGGCTAGTTGACTCATGTCAAATTGTATTAAATAAATGTTTATTTCTTAAAGTATTTGGTCTAAGGAACCTAAATATATCGATTTCATTTCACAAAAGCAGAAGATTGCTGTAGAAATTTAATTTAAAAAAATATTTTTAGTCTATATTTTTTAAACACAAAACGCTGTTCGCCGTGATTGTGACGTCTCTTGTTGTAGTAAACAACGAAATTTTATTCGCGTGTTACTGTGGGTGGATTCTTTCGTCTGACTAAATTTATCTTAAAACACTTTAGAAAAGTTTCCGTTTACTGTTTTTTTTTTACCAAACTAATTATAGGTGCCGGCTTTGTGAAAGCAGAAAGCACAAATCTGCCAAGAATTGACGCATTGATGGTTGGTGACTTTTTTGCATTAAACTCCGAATTCTACTCTTCGGAGCAGAGAAACGACAAGGCATCTATGTAAGTACAGTGCATTTAGTATTAATGTAGTAATAAACATAAAACTGATACAACATATGAATAAGTGTAATAAAGTTGCGTAGGTTAAGTTCTTTCGGCACTTTAATCCACAACTTTCCTGGAGTCTTCAAGGATGTGTTTTTATATTCTCGTACAATACAATAATGATAATTACTTTATTTATCGTGGTATTTATTAGAAATCATGTTTTTTTTCATTATAAACTCAGATAAGGTATTTTCTACTTGCTCACGAGTTTTTGTTTACTACAGATTGACGTCATAGCATAGATAATCTATTGACTAAAATGGCTGACAGCGTTTTTGTATGTCCATGAAAAGTCTATTTTAAAATTAAAGATTTGTAGCTTTTTAGGTCTCAAAAAAATACTATACATTTTTTTTCGGTCTAATAGAACATTTGTTAACCATTTAAAACTTTTTTCCAAAAAGGGTCAACAAGCCTATTGACGGAGAAATCGGTGAACATGCATAAAAAAATATATATATACAGTCGAACACAGAACCTCCTCCTTTTTTGAAGTCGGTTTAAAATTAGCCACACGTATAGTTTATTACCTGTATTGAGATATTTTTATCCCGGTAAAATGATTAGTTCCTGTTCGGTTCTCAAAAACTAACTATAACACTATCAGAGACGAGACCGGAAGCAAGATAGCTATAATCTATTTACAAATACTCGTAAAAAAATTACAAACTTACATCAATTATATTATTAAGATCACGGCTGCATCTGCAGTCGTTAGCACTAACCAATCCACACTGGCCCTCTCTCGTTTATATGATTCTGTCTAGGAAAGGCCTATGTCGAAATTATTAGTCTGATGACATTAATAAAATCATTAATTTTATACTTACAGTATCCCTCAAAGTATTCTCAGCCAGTATGAACACTTCCGACTGCGGACTTAGCGTCATTTTGTAGTTTGTCAAAGCTATCCTGTCCTTTTGTTTGGCCAATGTCTCTATTACCACGGGTTCTATCTGTTGGAAACGAAATAATATTTACATTAATATTAATATAATTATATCGCTGGGTCAGAACCTACGCGAAGGACCAAAATATCGAGTATTGTAAAAAGACGTCTTTATTTATATGGAGAATAGACCAGGGTCGATAATTTTAAAAATGGTGAGAAGTGAAAAAAAAATATAGTAGGATGAAACCCATTAGAAAAGGTAGAGAATATAACAAAAATGAAAGGAAAAATAAATTACGGGCGATCTGAGGTCGGGAAGAGGGAGGGGGTGAGTTTTTAAGGGTAAAAAATGGTTAATCTCGATTTCCGGTAAAACTGCAAGTCCTATGAAAAAAAGTTAAATCGCAAAGTTGTAGGTAATAAAAAGACCTACAACTTTTGTATCAACACTTTTTTCACATAACCTCAAAATTTATGTGAAAAATGCGAATAACCGAGATTTTGGTTTTTGATTTTTATTTTTTGCAAAAAAAAATATTTTTTCACGAAATTTGGTGAAAACTTACCTTTGTATGTCCCAAACATACAGTAATTTTTTTGATTTAAAATATTCATTTTTTCACCTTATTTTGACTTAATATCCAAAAAGCACCCTAATTTTCAATCGAAAATTCTCACGTCAAAATATCTGCTTTTTTTAAAGTTGGGGTGTTTTCTGTTTGTTGAAATCTCTACTTTCTGATGGTATAAAAAAATATACACTACTATGGTAAATGTTCTCAGAAACTGCAAATTAATAATGAAAAAAACTCCAATCCGAAAAATTGATTTGAATCATTATGTATAATTTTGAACTATTTATTAAAATTCACCAAATTTCGTGAAAAAATAACTTTTTTTGCAAAAAATAAAAACCAAAAACTCGGTTATTCGCATTTTTCACATAAATTTTGAGGTTATGTGAAAAAAGTGTCGATACAAAAGTTGTAGATCTTTTTATTACCTACAACTTTGCCATTTAACTTTTTTTCATAGGACTTGCAGTTTTACCGGAAATCGAGATTAACCATTTTTTACCCTTAAAACTCACCCCCTCCCCCTTCCCGACCTCAGATCGCCCGTAATTGATTTTTCCTTTCATTTTTGTTATATTCTCTACCTTTTCTAATGGGTTTCATCCTACTATAATTTTTTTTGGTCTCAAAAATTATCGACCCTGGTCTAGAAAGGCTCATATTGAAACAGTTTATGTGCATAAAGAATAAGTAGGTAACGGTCGTTATTATAAAATAAGTCATAAGCATAAGAATGGAGACTGGACATTAGGCAATAGCATAACATATTTACACATAAATAAGAGTCAAATTACATATTCAATTCTCTAATAAGGCGCTAATAACTGTAACACAGTTCTAGACTGCTATGGTTGTTAACGATAAATTGTTATTTTGTAAATTTACTTAATTGTCAGGGTTCAGAAATAAAAATTTTGTTTAATAAAAAAAATTTAAACAAATCTTCAAAGGACTTTAATGTAAACACGAATGTATATTATATACTCATTTGGTTTATATAATGCAGGAAAAATAACCCAACAAATTATCTTAATAAAATCTCAGTTGAATAGTTCTTGAATATTGTTTTCTTTCCTACCATCCGTTTAGAACATTACACATTACCACACACAACATTACCTACAAAAAAAGTTTATTAATAAGAGACATTTTACCTTATACATCTGCGCTAGCCTCAACCTGTCTTCAGCCGATGTAATCTTGTTGACACATGTCGCCATTAGCCGCTTACTAGCCTGTAACTCACTCAGGCGAGCCAATAAAGTCTCTATCGGTATATGAGACGATACAGTGGTACGGCCGAGCCAATCCTGTGTGCAGGAAATAAATCCAATACTTGTTAGGGCTGATCTTTTAAACCTACAATACTTATAAGCATCGACGTACTTTAAATCGGGACTTTATTTAAAATAATATTTTAGAAAATCGACGTCGTCTTATCATTACATTGTTGAATGTTACACCTTACACATATTACAAGGCAAAAGTTACGTTTTTTACACTAAAGCCACATTTCATGAATTTTGGTATAAGGAAGAAAGACTTTTTAAGCTAATTTTGTCACAAAAAATAAGAATTAATTTAAATGCAAAGAGTTACTACTCCGTTAACAATATTTGGCCGTTAAAGTGCATGATAATATAGACTTTATTCCTATGACTTTATATCGCAATTCTGAATGCGCTGTTAGCAATATAGCAAGCACGGAGCGAGGGGGAAAGAGACGACTACATAACCGACAATGCGTTTGATTATTACAAAACAATTATATTAAAACTGTAAAACAGTTTATAGCGAGAACTATTTCATGATCATCAATTTTTTTAAATGCGTAAAATTAACAAACGTAGATTTGATACCTGTCGAAAAAACGACACTCTACGTACTATAAGTATTTTTGTCGCACTATTTCACGGAGCTCTGCAGCATGTCGGCATTTTGGTTTTTCAATGGTCCGCACGTGACTGTGAACCGTGAAGTATGAGTGGAATTCAATCACTTCTTGATTGGGACACATTTTGTGCGCTTGTGGTTAGGGTTTTTAATATCGTTGGTCTAGGCATTTTTAATTCTGAAGTTTAATGCATGGCATTGGCATCCAATTAGCTAGCTAATAAAACCAAATGGCTACGACATATATTTATTAGACGACAAACCTTTTTGGTGAAAAGTGTTTCCACAATGTCCCACTTTTCCGACTTGGCGTGAACATTCAAGACCACCCAGTCGTATTGTAGCGGCGGAATCTAGAAACAATATAAATATATGTCTATTGTAATATTAAAAAATAAAAAGTTTGAGAGAAATTTACTAAACGGATAGGTCGAAATTAATGAAAAAAAAGAATACTCGGGCGCCAGACCCATACCATATTATTAAACCATATTAGCCGGGAAAGCAATGAACTTTTAATCGCAAGAGGAGTTTAATGCAAATCCATTCTCATTTTGGGTTGTCTATATATTAAAATTTAGTACAAAACTACTGGACCGAAAGAATTACTGCTAAATTTTGAAACTAAGACTAAACTAAGACTGTAAGTGAAAATGTTACCTTTTATATGGGGGCCGAAACACAATTATAAATTTGAATATTACTGACTTTGTTGCATCTTTGTAGTTAAATTATGTCTGGTTTCACAAGTATGTAGGGGATGGCCGTTTTTAGGTCCCGTGGGTTCACCTCCACCTCACGGGAAACATCGTGATTTGAATTCGATTTCCAAATAAAATTTCAAATATATAAAAAAAAACGCTTTTAGCTGAAAATAAATATTCCTCAGATTAGCACATGGCTCACAACAAAGGAAAATAAGTAAAACTAAGGAAAACTCTAAGATTCTTACCGTTTTTCAATTAAATTAAGCTTGGAATAAGATCGGCTCCATTCCGCGCAAACAGTGTGAAATATCACGTCTGTAAAAAAAACAATCCTTATGTAAATTATTGAAATATATGAATTAAAACACTTTTCGAATTTGGAAAAACACTTACCATCAAAAACAATTGAAAATCCAATGGATTATCATGATAAAAAATAAGATTATGATTTTCACATGTTTCTTGTAAAAATTTTGGTCGTGAAGTGAAGTGACAGTTCTTTTCTTAGTTTGTCTTGGCGGTAGGCAAAGAGAACAATGTCCATTTAGCCTACTGCTCGATAAAGGCAGAAACACAGTTACCCAAAAGTGCACAGATTAAAGAAAATGGGCGCGAGATAAAAAACGACCAGAGAGACAACCAAAAAAAATCTTCTATCTCGCTCTTCGAGCGAAGGAGATCCATGTGACGTTTTTAACACGTTACATTTCACCCTTCCCCGAATAAAGCATCGAGAATCGAGGCTGAAAAAACTACAGCTAAAGTCCAAATACTAAAAGCCAAAACGAAATCCGTTGAATTATGGATGAAAACGAAAACCCAAAGTGAAAAGAAAATAACTTCAAATAAAGTTATCCAAATACCAAAACATCATCTAACTATAGAGTCCTTGGACAAAAAGTCACAAGTCTCAAAACAAAAGCTGTTGAACTAAATTAGTCACAGACCCAAAATTATTAAAAACCTAAAGCAAAATGCTCTAAAATAAAAGTATGCAAAGCTTACTACAAAAAATTCAACCACTATCATCATCATTATTGAGATCTGTCAGACATAAAAAGTCGCAGACTCTAAAAAATCTCTAAATTCAAACTACTCTAACTAAACCCTGGTGAGATCTGTTGGACATCTAAGTTGCAGACTCTAAAATTTCCTAAACTAAAACTCCTTCAAAACCTAAACCCCTGTGAGATCTGTTGGATATTAAAATCGCAGACTCCTAAAATTTCTTAAACTACTACTCTTAACATTAATTTCTGAAGGTCTGTTGGACAACTAGGTCACAGACAGAAAACTACAATCTACTCCTACTACCAACTCTTGGGAGATCTGTTAGACAACTATGTTGCAGACTCTAGAAAAATCCCACCCCAGTACTGCCATACTAAAAAGTCGCAAGTACTATTAGTTAAATCCCCAAAAAAGTTCGAGATGAGTGGCAAAATTGACACAAACTCATTTAAGTCACAATCATGGTCGGCACAACACCACCGGCTTTCCGAACATGATGTGCAAAAGGCGTCGAGAACAAACAGTTCGACAAAAAAAATGTAGTGACGAAAGTCAAAACAGCAAAAAATTTGGCGAAAACCAAAACGTGACATTCATGGCCGACTCAACACCAACGACTTTCCGGACATGAAGCACCCAAAACAAAAGTTGTAACTACATGATCGGCACAACTCCACCGAACTCCCGAGCATGAAGCACAAAAACAAACAATTGATGTCCATAAATATGGGCAAACAAAATACCAAAACAATATGGCAAAACCAAAAAGCGTCAACAATGTTGAACAAAAAGTCGAAATTGCAACTTCATGATCGGCACAACACCACCGAACTTCCGAACATGATGTGCAAAAACTAATAATTATTGTCCACAAATATGGGCAAACAAATTACCAAAACAAAGTGGTAAACCAAACAAATCGTCAAAAATATTGAACGAAAAAAGTCTAAATCATGGATGTCAAATCCAAGGAAAAATGTGGGGATCCCAAAATGTCAAATCCGGGTGTAACAATTATCACACACACAAACTTCTACACAAAACAAATTGTTATAAAACAACAAACATGCAGAAACACCACACAACTATAGTACTAACAAATAAGTTTGTACAAAAATAACAAATAAGGACATATAAAATCCTAATAAAAAATGTGTCCATACAGATAAAACATCTGCATGAAACAAAAGGTTATAAAATCTTATGATGCAGAAAATAAGTAGGCATACTACGTAAATTTAAATTTTACAAAAAATTTCAAAGTCAAATAATATAATGGCAAAACTTGAATTTAATAAAAACCAAAAAGTCAATGAGTAAAGTCTAATGTATTTGAGTAATATCACTTTCTTTCATCACCTTCCAAGGGCAACAGTACATACCTCACGCAAATAAATCAACTTTCAAATGCCCAGATCACCCAAGTCACAAAAGCCTAAAACCCAAAGGTTTGTTTATGTAACAAAACTAACCAAACAACAGCTAAGCAATCTAAATTTTCAAAATGTCTTTAACATGGTAACGACCAGAAGTACCTTTAACCAAATCTTTCAAAACATAAACATTATTCGAGATTTTATCAATAATCTTACATTTAATAAACTTCGGAGCTAGTTTTGCCGAAAAATAATGAGCAGCACTAGATTGAACAAAATTCCTCCTCCAAACAATATCACCTACATCATAAGAAGTGACTTCACGACGCTTGTTATAATAAGAAGCATTACGTTTATATGCTTTAAATAAAGTTCCAGTAACTTTAACAAAAATACTTTCAAGTGAAGAAAGTGAATGAGCAAAAGCAGAACGGTCAACAAGATCGATCTGTGTTAAATTATCAAAGGAATTACTAAAACGGTGCAATGACGCATCAACAATTAACTCCCTACTGTAACGTCCTTGACGTTATAACCTCCTTGTTTAGGTAAACTCTTTGCTTTTGCAATGCCTACGGTTGGCAGTTATATTAAAAAGATAATGTCATGATTTTAAGATTTGAAATAAGGAATCGTCTGAAGGTTCCATTCTAGATTACATAGCTAGGGTTAGCTTTGTTTTTTTGTTTTTGCCGACTGATGTCGATGTAAAGTAAAGTAAAGTTAAGGTTAGGAGGGAGATGTACGAGGGATTTTGTTAAGGTTTTGCTCCCGTAAAGTCTTTGCAATAAAACTTTGCAAACAGTTAGGGTTCTTTTCCCGTAAAGTTTTTTTTTTTTTGCAAGTTTTGCAAACTTATTGTGAGGGCTAGTCTGTAGTAAAGGCCACCTCCCAGTTGTATTTATGTCCTTAAGCAGGTAGGGATTTTAGATAGGACCGTCGAACCCTCTCGATGTAGTAGGTAGGAAAAAAAAATTTGTTCGGTCATCTGGTATGACAAAACAATTTTTTTTTAGAGGTGCCGGAGGGATGTAACGTCCTTGACGTTATAACCTCCTTGTTTAGGTAAACTCTTTGCTTTTGCAATGCCTACGGTTGGCAGTTATATTAAAAAGATAATGTCATGATTTTAAGATTTGAAATAAGGAATCGTCTGAAGGTTCCATTCTAGATTAGATCTTCAGGCACCAAGAACTTCCTCTCGTATTTAGATAAAATTTCTTTATATTCGCCTGAATGATAAAAAGAAATAAACAATTTATCTCTATCAGTATTTTTCAATTATCGACTACGCTCCCAGGTCCTATCCCTTCTGGGTAGAACGCTATAACACAAACATTAGGAAATTCGGAGTGAACTCCGTAGCCAAATTAACACTACTATTCAAAGCTAACTGAACATGTGGAAGAAATTTCGACCAAGTTCTATGATCATCACGAACGAAGCAAGAAATGCAAGTTTCAACCGTTTTATTATAACGCTCCACTGGATTATTCTGAGGCGTATATAAAGTATTATAAAATATTCTATCAATATTAAAACCTTTAAGAAAATCTACAAAATTTCTAGAAGTGAACTGAGTACCGTTATCACATACAACTATTTTTGGACATCCGAACTTAAGGAAGATATCTTTTTCTAAGAACTTACACATTGATCTAGTCGTTGCATTAGCCAAAGGAAATAACCAACAATATTTTGTAAAAACATCTACTACAGATAATATAAATTTATGACCAGAATAAGTTTTGGGTAAAATTCCAATTAAATCCATACTTAACATTACCATAGGTCTATCTACTTTTTTAGGATTAATCATAGTTCCAAGTGGTTTAGAAGTCGAATGCTTATAAGCTTTACAAATATCGCAATTATTAATATATTTATGAACATCATTAAACATACCTTTCCAAAAGTAATGTAGTTTTATTTTATGCAAAGTTTTATGAATTCCCAAATGACTCGAATTTAAATCATCATGATTATTTCTAATAGAATCTAAAATATGTTCTTTTGGAACAACAATTTTCCAATCTAAATTATTATTAACGCTATATTTTGATTTACAAAATCTATACAAAGTATCATTTTCTACTCTAAAATTTTTATATCTAGAAGGGAATTTTTGACAATGGACAAAAATCTTTCTATACCAAGGATCTACGATGTCATCGTTAGGCGAAACAATTTGATTTGAATTTACTGTCAACGCAGCTATATCATAACGAGAAAGAGTATCAGGAACTACATGCAAAGAAC